CAAAACAAACCCCAACAACATTAGATCTATAAAAAAAAGGGAAAAAACAAAAACCTCCAGAAAAAACAACAACAAACAAACCCGAAACAAAACTAAGGGCATGTTCACCTCCTTCATGAGCGGACGTGTGCTCCGGCCTGTCGCCGCGGTGACGTCGATGATGACGTCGGCGATGATGTCCGTGGTGTCTCCTGTCGTCTGCTGCGCTGGGCTCGGCAGCCCTGGAGTCGACGGCGTCACGGTAGTCGCTGTCTCTGGGCACCGTGAAGTGATAGAAGATTCCTGGGTTTCTTCCAAAGTAGATGAGCTGGTGGCAGGAAGAGCGTATGACTATGATAATAATTTTCTTTGGGAACTGAGCATATTATATATTACTATATCAGGATAAAACTTAAAATACCCCCCCCTCTTTTTTTATCCCCTTGATCTTCCCAACTAACCCGAAATATCAATTAGTTGAAATAAATTTTAAGGCAAACAGCTAAACAACGTTTTTAAAGTTCCCCAAAGTAACGATCCCTAACCAAGATGAAGAGAAATTAAAATGATAACCGAAACGACTATATCACCAACACCACTACCGACAACAACAGCAACAACAACAACAACAACAGCAACAACAACAGCAACAACAACAGCAACAACAACCACAGCACAAACAGAAAACATAGCGTCAGTAACAACAGCAGCAGTAACATCAAATATAGCAGAAGCAATTTAAACAAAATCACCGAAACCTACGACAACAAAAGATGACACAAATATATCTTTAGTAATCTTCCTGCAATTCTCAACCTCCTCACTACCAAACCAGAAGCTATCTCGAGCTATTTGGCATCATGTTTATAGAGCAAGTTTGGCTGTGAGACCGTTAATTACGAAAGATCAGTCCTTTTCATGATGTGGGAAGAAGGCGGTGGCGATGAACTGGACATACTTCCGGGAAGAAAGGCAGCTGCATAACAAAGAAAGTGTTGGATTGGAAACCCACAGGGAAAGAGATCAAGGAAAGGCCAAAAGGAACCCGGAGCAGAGTCACAGAGAATGATGTTCCAAACAGTGGGAAGACGTGGAATAAAATCAGGAGGATGAACATAAAAGTGGTGATGATGATGATGATGATGATGATGATGATGATGATGATGATGATGATGATGATGATGATGATGATGATGATGATGATGATGATGATGAT